GACTCCCAAAGGCGGTCCTTCCCAGTTGCGTTGAAAGCTTGCTGCTTAAACAAAACCCAACTTTGATTTATTTGCGTAATGTAAAGAGCTTCGTGTTTCGAGCAGGTCGCAAGGTTCCACACTGCCAAAAATGGGATTGCCCCGCGCAACCGCTTTTCGCTTTGGACAGGGCCATTTCGAGGCTGTTTTCAATTTCTATTTTAATAGCAGGCGAGACCAAAAACGGGCGCGCCAAATCCACGAGTTGGAGCGTGTGGCAATCCGGTTTTTGGGGTTGCGACATGACGCTCGGAACGCACCCAGCTGCTTCAAAAGTTCGCCAGAAACCATGAAACCACAAAAGGCAGGAAGGATGACACAAACATCCACGTGCTGAACAGTTGCGTTGAAAGCTTGCTGCTTAAACAAAACCCAACATTGATTTATTTGCGTAATGTAAAGAGCTTCGTGTTTCGAGCAGGTCGCAAGGTTCCACACTGCCAAAAATGGGATTGCCACGCGCAACCGCTTTTCGCTTTGGACAGGGCCATTTCGAGGCTGTTTTCAATTTCTATTTTAATAGCAGGCGAGACAAAAAACGGGCGCGCCAAATCCACGAGTTGGAGCGTGTGGCAATCCTGTTTTTGGGGTTGCGACATGACGCTCGGAACGCACCCAGCTGCTTCAAAAGTTCGCCAGAAACCATGAAACCACAAAAGGCAGGAAGGATGACGCAAACATCCACGTGCTGAACTGGGGAGGACCACTTCTTGGAGTCCAAAAAGCCAATGTGTTTACGGCCCCGAAAATGAGATTGCTGCAGTGACCTTTTTTGCGAAAAATTGCGCAGCTTTAACAAAAAGCAATACTCTTGCAAGTGTAACGGAATGGCAGGATTCCGGGGAACACGGTTGCTGATTGAAGGTCTCTAAACCCCCGCCTGCATGTTGCCAATCTTTGCCAAAGCACCATGTTGTTTGGAATTGTTTGGGTGTTGTTGTCGCAGGCTTTCGCAACATGGCGTGGGTGAGGTGCTGATTCCGCTGCGACATTGCTGGCGGGATCCTTTTTCTGTGTTTGCGTTGGCAGTGGATCGTTTTGTCACGATTGGGCGTCGCACTGCTCAGTTTTGTTTTGGTCTCTTGATGCGTTGTTTGTTTTTGGGCTCCCCCCCTTCGCCCCCTAGACTCCTAACGCGGCAACTTTGCGGGTCGGGTTATGTATGTCGCCCGGAGTTCAGTATCATCCGGTTAAAGAATAATAGTATATATTTAAAACCGGATGAATCCTTTGTTTACATTGGGGGAAGAGTTTCGATTTCATGACTCCAGCAGATTCCGTAAGAAGGCTAGAGATGCAAAACTTCGGTTTTGCCACAGTTTTGTGCCAGTTTTGATGTCTTTAGCTGCGGAGTCTTGCCGGAGTCGGGCGGAGTCGGTACACCTGCTGAAACCCTATTTACAATGGGGAAAGCGTTGACAGAGTTCCAACTTTGCGACTCCAGACGACCCCGCAAGAAACCGCAAGATGCGCAAGATGATGTCACTGAACTGTTCGATTTGTTTGATGCCCATTTTTGGGGTTGGAAAGGTATATAGAATTTGGACTCCCAAAGCCGGTCCTCCCCAGTTGCGTTGTGAAAGCTTGTGCTTAAACAAAACCCAACTTTGATTTTATTGAGTAGTGTAAAGAGCTTCTCGTGTTCGAGCAGGTTCGCAAAGTTCCACAATGACAAAAAATGGGATTGCCACGCGCAAAACGTTTTTAGCAGTTTGGACAGGGCCATTTCGAGGCTGTTTTCAATTTCTATTTAATAGCAGGCGAGACCAAAAACGGGCGCGCCAAATCCACGAGTTGGAGCGTGTGGCAATCCTGTTTTTAGGGTTGCGACATGACGCTCGGAACGCACCCAGCTGCTTCAAAAGTTCGCCAGAAACCATGAAACCACAAAAGGCAGGAAGGATGACACAAACATCCACGTGCTGAACAGTTGCGTTGAAAGCTTGCTGCTTAAACAAAACCCAACATTGATTTATTTGCGTAATGTAAAGAGCTTCGTGTTTCGAGCAGGTCGCAAGGTTCCACACTGCCAAAAATGGGATTGCCACGCGCAACCGCTTTTCGCTTTGGACAGGGCCATTTCGAGGCTGTTTTCAATTTCTATTTTAATAGCAGGCGAGACAAAAAACGGGCGCGCCAAATCCACGAGTTGGAGCGTGTGGCAATCCTGTTTTTGGGGTTGCGACATGACGCTCGGAACGCACCCAGCTGCTTCAAAAGTTCGCCAGAAACCATGAAACCACAAAAGGCAGGAAGGATGACGCAAACATCCACGTGCTGAACTGGGGAGGACCACTTCTTGGAGTCCAAAAAGCCAATGTGTTTACGGCCCCGAAAATGAGATTGCTGCAGTGACCTTTTTTGCGAAAAATTGCGCAGCTTTAACAAAAAGCAATACTCTTGCAAGTGTAACGGAATGGCAGGATTCCGGGGAACACGGTTGCTGATTGAAGGTCTCTATACCCCCGCCTGCATGTTGCCAATCTTTGCCAAAGCACCATGTTGTTTGGAATTGTTTGGGTGTTGTTGTCGCAGGCTTTCGCAACATGGCGTGGGTGAGGTGCTGATTCCGCTGCGACATTGCTGGCGGGATCCTTTTTTCTGTGTTTGCGTTGGCAGTGGATCGTTTTGTCACGATTGGGCGTCGCACTGCTCAGTTTTGTTTTGGTCTCTTGATGCGTTGTTTGTTTTTGGGCTCCCCCCCTTCGCCCCCTAGACTCCTAACGCGGCAACTTTGCGGGTCGGGTTATGTATGTCGCCCGGAGTTCAGTATCATCCGGTTAAAGAATAATAGTATATATTTAAAACCGGATGAATCCTTTGTTTACATTGGGGGAAGAGTTTCGATTTCATGACTCCAGCAGATTCCGTAAGAAGGCTAGAGATGCAAAACTTCGGTTTTACCACAGTTTTGTGCCAGTTTTGATGTCTTTAGCTGCGGAGTCTTGCCGGAGTCGGGCGGAGTCGGTACACCTGCTGAAACCCTATTTACAATGGGGAAAGCGTTGAAGAGTTCCAACTTTGCGACTCCAGACGACTCCGCAAGAAACCGCAAGATGCGCAAGATGATGTCACTGAACTGTTCGATTTGTTTGATGCCCATTTTTGGGGTTGGAAAGGTATATAGAATTTGGACTCCCAAAGCCGGTCCTCCCCAGTACACATTTGCATGAAAATGGGGGTTGTTGTTTTTTTGATATTCTATGAATCCGCAGAAGCCGAGCACCAGGCCAAGGATGCCTCCCATCGGGTGTGTCGACTGTCCGAGGGCATCGCGACAGCTGCAATTGGGGCAGCGGAAGCACATGCGGATACCGAGAAGCTCCGCAAACACAAAACGAACTATGCATTGCCTAGTGGCTCCACATGTGTCCTTTTAACAGCGGTTCTCCAAATGACAATGGCACTTGCCATTTGCAGCCAACATGCCCCGTTTGTAGATGGACCAAGAAGCCTACACATGTACTCTGTGCATTCTTGCATCCAGTGATTAAACATGAAAAACCATGATCGTGCTCAGTGTGCGCCGTGCTCACGCGCGCCACTGCACCCATGGCTTTGTTTAAAGCCACACGCCCTGAGAGGAAAAAAACAGGTCATATAAAACTATATATGTCGGGTTTTGTGGGTTCCTTTCATATATGCAGACCTGTTCCTGCAGGCTAAATACATCTTGTACATGTGTACATATTCTAGGGGATTCATGGCATTCTATTCACGTTACTCATGTTACTTTCCAATGTCTTACTTGTAGTTAAGGTTCGGGGGCGCCTAAAATTCACAGAAATTTCTTTGTGGGCCTGCATAGCCACTAAAGGACAAGGTTCCCAACCATTTTTTTCCATTGTTTTCACACCTTTTGGTGCCAGGGCCAGCTTGTGTAGCCCAATCAGCTGACTGAGACTCGCATCATCAAAGGGGTGGTTTAGATACATAATTGAATTTTGGTAACTCTACTTTTTTTCATGTGTGCAAATATCACACGGAATTGTGGTAGTATGTTTTTTGTGCACCCCGTCAGTCGCATCACGCGCTCGATGGCTGCAGGGGGTGCTGTGAGGGAACCGCAGCACACTGCGGAGACAATGTTTGGGATTGATTTACAGTGACGCGTCTACCATTATATAGTCACATCATAGGTTTAGAAATAACATGAAATATCTGATGATATCTGGTATTTTTGGTGGTTGTGCGATCCCAGTGCATGATAACTACAATAGAAAAAAGACCACCAGTGTCATTGCTACTGAAGTGGGTTTTGTCGACCTGATTGCCATGCGATGATTGCGATGCTGGCTGGTGGAACGTCGCATGAGAATGACAGCACCCTGGCCACGCGATTGCCAGCAACTATGGGCAGGTCAACTATCCTATTTTAGGAAACACTGTCTCTATATTTGATGATCAATTTCATGCATGGTGCCATAGGTTATAAGGTATAAATATCTTATCAAGTCCCGATGGTCCTCAAGAAATTGCGGCCCTTGGTTTGTTTGAGTTTATCACAAGAAATGACCGTTTTTTTTGTACTTGACCCCGAAATGAACCGACAGGTGAATTGGATTGTTTCATATTCAAACACGGTTGGATGGTTCCATGCATGCGTTGAAATTCATCAACTGGACAATGGACTACTTATCGCAAAGATTCCAAGAAATTGATCTCAAGAGCTGAGCCCACTCTTTCGCGCAACCCCTCACTGCGGTCACGCATCCTTCGCCAACCTGAGGCGCAAAGGTGGCACCAGTCTTGGACAGGAAGTGCCCTCTGCATGGGGGGATTGGAGTGTTTTTTCAACCACCATCTGTGGACACACCCTGACATGACCTAGGTTGAGGAAAAAAAAACATGGGAGAATTGAAGGGAAATTTGAAGAAAGATAGATGGAAACGTTGTCCAAATTCCTGCTCATAGCTGGCCAATTTAGTCCACTGCACGGTTTCCGCCCGGCCTTTTCCAACATGGCCGCTGATCTTGCTGCAGCTTGTGACTGCGACAGTGCAAGGTGGAAATCCGTGCGTGGCTTGACCAATCAGGGCTATAGTGTGGGTCAGTTTCATAAGAGTGTCATCATGTCGCAAGCAAACCCATTAGTATTCAATTCAGGTGGTAATTTGCCAGCAAATAAAATTGTCTCAAAATCAAGTGGCCAGTTTGGGCACCTGGAAAATTCATACAATCTTGTCTCACTCCTCACTTTTGAGATATGCTCCATTAATTTCCATCATGTCGAATCGCTCACATGAATCCCAGTGAGTAAGATTTATAGCCCACATATAACCCAAATATAGATCATATATAAATAAGGATACGGGATATTCCAAATATAACTGGGAGTACCCCCCCGAAGTCCATTTCAAGAAATAAGATTGGGTTTTATTCCATATGAGTTCTATATACTCTTTGTCAATTGTACCCAGTGAGTAAGTTCTATATCCCATATATATATAACCCATCTATAACCCATATAGGTGCATATATGTGCATATATAAAAAGGGATACGGGATATCCCATATATAACTGGGAGTACCCCCAAGAAGTCCATTTCAAGATGGAAGATTTGGTTTTTATTCCATTTGAGTTTTATATACTCTTTGTCACTGGTACCCAGATCCAGCACTTGGTTCTGAAATCCCCATTAGATATATCATGCTATATCCAGCGTCAACCTCTTTCTAAGGACCTGGCAGGGATGTTCCGTGGACTTTTGAAGATGTCGCGACTTGGTATTCCTGTTCACGTCCCCTCTAAGTAATTATAAACGTGTAAACCCTTACCATGATAAAGTTGTCATCAGTAAAGGGCGCTTTCCATCAGTCAACTTAAACGGCCATGAAGTCATGAAGCATGACCCCTCGACGATGAAAATTACGTCGTGAAACCTCATGACACGTGTAGCTTAGAAATATTCAACGTGTGAGATTCTGTTTTGCACCATGTTGCGCGTGTTTTGAAGTGACCTTATTTCTTGTGTTGTATGTGTGTGTGTGTGTTGTGTGCTGTGTCTGGGGCGGAGTTGATGTGAACACGGTGGGTTCATAAAGCAGCCCAGGATTACTTGGCGCGTGCTATCATGGCCAACCTCCCACCGGCTGTACTTGCTCTTTTTGACCAACCCGAATACCCTGGGAGTAGCTTGCAAGCTTTACCGGAGAGTGGAAACTTGAAGACTCCGACGGCGCGTGAGATCTCCTTGAACTACACGTTTCTTTTGCCAGTGGTGCAAGCGAGTCCTTCCAAGGTTTGTCGGGGTTGTCATTTACTCTGGATTATTTGGGTGTAAAAAAGGAATCTGTTTAGATGAGCTCAGGGATTTGAATTAGTTTGGATGAAGTCAGGGATTGAAAGAAATAGCATCTTTCCAATTTTTCTATGGCCAATCACTTTTTTGATTTATCCGCTTGTGCACCATGCGCTTTGCAGGTTCCAAGTGCCTATTTCATGACAGACGTCTACTTGCGTTTTGACGCGCTCCTGGACAGAAAGGTGTTCAAACCGACTGTCACGGAAAGCAGGCTTTGCTTTGAAGTCATACCTGGTGCCATCGCCCAGGCGCGGTGTACAGGTTGAATTTGAAGACAGTGATCATGGTGATGCTCATGCCGGTGAGGATGAGAACGTGGAGAGTGGTGCTGAGGATGAGATCGAGGAGGGTGAGAATGTGGAGAGTGGTGCTGAGAGCGTGGAGGGTGAGAACGTGGAGAGTGGTGCTGAGGGTGAGAACGTGGAGAGTGGTGATGAGGGTGAGAATGTGGAGAGTGGTGCTGAGGGTGAGAACGTGGAGGAGGAGGAGGAGGAGGAGGGTGTTGGGGGTGATGGTGATGTGGATGGCACTGCATCCTCACAGGATTCCCACAACAGCACCCTGAATGCATCAACCCTCCATGGCCCTCCGTCGCAAGTGTCAGATGAAGAGGATTCCTCGCCATCGGAAGAGACCCCCATGACGCAGTCTGATGTGCCGGCAGTGAACTCTGGGTCTGAGTGTGTTGAAGGTGCATACCAAGCTGGTGATTCGCAAGTGCCAGGTGCAGGGTGGATGGGTCGTGCAATGATGCATTTCCGGAACAAGGAGGACAAGGAAGAGGAGAAGAAGGAGATGAAGATGTGGAGCCTTCTCTCTTCCATCAAGTCTGACCTTTCCAAGCAGTTTACGGAGCCCATCGAGGGTGAGCTGTGGGGAATGTACAGCACGTTTTGCCGCAATGCCATTGAGAAGGATGGGGAAGAGGACTACCTCAAGTTTGCCTCTGCCAGGTTCTTTCAGAGCTGGGTTTGCAAGATGAAAGCAGAGGCTCATGATGTTTGGGTGGGGGCATGTTGGATACCATTTGCTGTTGAATACCATTCAGACCATTCATGCAGCCGCGCAATTAGCATTCATCATCCTTCATATATCGGTTTCAATGATTTTCAATGTTGCACAGCCCTGTCATTTGCGCCCTGTCTTTCTGGAGGTGCCAGACCATCACAAAGCAGGGAGCAAGCGCACGGTGGATGAGGTACTTCAAGGGTTACCGTCATCCTTGGGTGGGTTCGTGTTGGTGTTGGTGTGTGTGTGTGCACTTGTTTTCTGATTTTATCTGAATGTGATGTTTCTGATTTCATCCAAACACCCATCAGGGTCGAGGCCCATAAACTCTTGTCTAAGTATGTGTGTGTGTGTGTTTGTCATGAATGTACTGTCGCAATATATTGATTGCAAAATTTTGTGCTGGGATGTCAACCCTTCGTTTCAAACATGTTCAAATATAATGTACATCATTGTACAAGTAACAACCACAATTTTCAGATCTTACATGGGTTCACTTCAAAAACATGTGTGAAATTCCTTTAGATCTTACTTCCCCCTTTGATCGACCTGCTTGCTGCAGGTGCCCGCTGATCCGAAAAAGGCTTTGCGCTTTGACGAGGAGGACATTGAGACCCCAGCTGCCAAACGCCCAAAGCTCGAGCCTGTGGTTGCTCGTGGTCTCCACATGGCACCTGTGCCAGTTGTCGGACAACAGACAGTTTCTAGAACAGATTCCATCAGCAAACAATTTTGTTTACATCATTGAAATTATCCAATTATAGGATTCCAGTATGTGTACTTTAGAAGAAGGGTTAATTCACGCACAAAAGATTGTCCATGTGCTACTGTAGGATTCCAGTATGGATATTTTTGAAGAAGGGTTAATTCAAGCACCAAAGGTTGTCCATGTGCTATCATAGGATTCCAGTATGGATATTATAGAAGAGTGGTTAATGCACGCACCAAAGATTGTCCATGTGCTATTAAAGGATTCCAGTATGAATATGCTTGAAGAAGGGTTAATTCAAACACCAAAGTTTGTCCATGTGCTATACTGCCTAGGCCAAAGCTATGGCAGCGACCAAGAAGGCCGACAGGTTGTCTGAGCTTGGTGGAACCCATGGACAGCCCCTTTCGAATTTCCATGCGTATGACCTCAACGAAATTGGGATCCCTGTTGTTGCGCGACCTATCTCGGGCCAGCACTATGCGGGGAAACATGGATACACGATTCACTGCAGCTCTGGAGCCGTACTTTGGTCATCATCAAAGGTTGATCATATGTTTTTCTAATTAATTCCCCTTTTGGGAAAGAAAGATTCCAAACAGTCCAAAGAAGATTGTAGGTTCTGGGGCACCGATGCTATATGCTTTTATTGAACTGAACTGAATCGTTTCGTGTTTCTAGTCTCTCAGGCAGTGGAAGTGCTGCTGAAAACGCGAGCATTCATTGTGAAGAAGCTATCCCACTCAGTGGTTGAGGATGATGCCCACCGCCGGGGCCAAATTACATGGTCGAAATTCCCAGATATTTCCGCAGCCTGGGCCGAAGCAACCCGTCGGTCAGGCTTCTAGGTCCTGTGGAGCCAGCGTGTGTTTAGAGCATGTCGTTGAAGACATGTATTGAGTGTTTTGATTGGAGCATGTCATGAAGACATGTACTTAGTGATCCGGGGTTTGAATCTAGCGTTTCAATCGTACCAACCTCTTAGGCTTGAGGATGGTTGATTGGTTATCTTGGCCATAACCTGGCTTTCGTGTTCTGCCGGGATGGACCCTTTGACATCACGTGGGGCCAAAACAGGAGGGTGCTGGCGCCCAACCCTATCCAAAATTTTGGGAGGCTGTGAAAGCACAGAACATTATGTTGATGGATAGAATTCATTCAACCACATTCGGTGACCACAAACAGATTGTAGGATGTTTGGAAGTTTCTGGAAATTGTAATGGGGATGTTCGCAAGAACTTATTTCAAAGCAAATGGAATAAATCATCAGAAGACTGTGGATCCCAGTTTAGAGCCCCACACCACTCCTACTGTCCTTGTGACCAGGTACTAGCTGTCATTGCCTTGGCGTGCCGTTGGAGCGCAGGAGACTTGGGGATTCCCGTCTGGGCTGCTGACGGTACCAATTTTCCTATCAGTTTGACACCCCAAAATCTGACCCCCACAACCAACTAAAAATGTAGCACACCTGTAAGAAAAAAGGGTTACTGAGGGTAGAATTGTGGGGGTCAGATTTTGGGGTGCCAAACCAACAGGAGAATTAGAAGCTGATGGGGCTATTGCCCATTGAAAAAGTGGTACACAAACAACTTGTATGGGAATTAGTGGAAGGCAGAATGGAATTATGGAATCACAACCGATTTGAATTATGGAGGAAACCCTGTCAGAATTCAACTGTCTATGTCATGGGGGTATACATGTCTCCAAAAACATGTACCTTGTGGAAAAATGTGATGATATGTGCACAGCCGTTTTGGTCGAAATTTTTCTGGTTTCTTTGTCTGTAGACTGTGTCTTTTGACAGAGATGGGGAAACCTAGCACGAAGGTGCGGGTCAATAAGGTTCGCAAATCCATGCCCTTTCAGCCTGATGGTGGGCCACATGATTCAGAGGCACGTGGCATGAAAGCTAAGCAACGACAGTGGATGATGGATGGGCTTCGGGCCATGAAGGCACCAGTGGCACTTAATCTGAAATTCAGCCACCATTTTTGTTTTGAACTTTCATCATATGTATAGTCACGGGCGGGTAATAAGCAGATTTCCTCCCCTGCCGGCAGACAAGCAGATTGCTCAACTGCCTCACTCGCCGGTAATCTATCTGCTTATTACCCCTAAAAATGTGTAAAATGAAAATCTGCTTATTACTGTTGTCCCCAGACACTGGGTCGCGTCTTCAATTGTTTCGGTATAGTTTATCATAGCGATGGTCTCCTCTGATCATCCTGCCTTTTCCTTTGAAAACCTCTTGTTTTCGTGTGTTTTCTTCTGTTTTCTTTTCTTACCCTATTAGTACAAGTGTGTTTTCTGTAACAGGTGTTTCACATTTCCACCCAGGTATGGACCAAAAGCTAGCAGTGTCAACCTTTCCAACGCATGAGTTGCACCAAAATATTATGGTTTTTAATTGTGGGTGGAAAGCAATGAAAAACAAACACAAAGGAAATAGCTAAAATCAGGTTTTCTTAGATTATATCATTTTTCCTTTGGTATCCTTTGATTCCCTTTGATTTCCTTTGGTTTCCTTCGGTTTCCTTTGGTTTGGGACTAGGTGGATTCTATGGTTTCCTTTGGTTTCCTTCGGTTTCCTTTGGTTTGATTTGTTTTCCTTTGGTTTCCAAGGGAGAAACAAAGGAAAAGAAAATCCAAGGAAAAAACAAACCAATCAAGGACACTCTAAGGAGGCTGAAAACCGATAGAATGCATCAATCATGCCTGTTACTAAGGAGGCTGCTAGAGCTAGAGTTTAGTTGTTTTCAGTCAGCGACCGAACTTCTGATTCTGTATACGCGTACAAACCTACAGCAATAAACCAAAATGCAATTTCCCCGACACGAGCAAATTGATCAGGTGCCCCGTATACAATGAAAATGAGTTGCTTCTTACAGTCTGAGTGGACCTACTCCATTCAGTGTACAATATGTTTCTGGTGGGTATCATGTAAAGGGGCCTAGAAATTTGCCAGCCCAGAGTAAAGAAACAATGTGTGGCTCTTGGTCTTGCAGCGACCCTTTCTTGTGGCTCTTGGTTTTCAGGTGGCCCTTTCTTGTTGCAATTATTCCTCAAAGCTTCTTTACAATTCAACGCTTTTGACATTGTCTTGGACTCCTAGAAACGGCAGCCCTTCTATACTGTGCTGTGACGATTGATTGAGACTGCTTAAACAAATTATTCTGGTATATTCTAGTCTGATTCAGTTTCTGCCCGGCAATTTCTTGAATTTGGTGCCCCAGGAAGTCCCAACTTTCAAGCAACTGTAATAAGCAGATTTCCACATCTGCTTACTACAGTCAGGGTAGTTTAAGGCGTAGTGCAGATCAACCAACTATAATAATGCATGCTTTCAAGCAATGTAGGTGTCCTCGGGCTGGTTTTTTTGTGTTTTTTTCCGGCAATTTCTCTCGGAATGCCGTTTAAACATACATTTGGGGCTTGATTTTGGGCCCGTCCTTTTGTCACAACCCTTTCTCATTCCAAAACTCCCTTAAGACTGCTTTACAAACGAACGCTTTTGACACTGCCTTGGACTCCTAGAAACGGCAGCCCTTCCGCTGTTAAACACATTATTCTAGTCTGCTTCAGTTTCTAGGCTGTGGCCCGGCTATTTCTTGAATTTGTTGCCCCAGGAAGTCCCAACTTTCAAGCAGCTGTAATAAGCAGATTTCCAAATCTGCTTTCTACAGTCAGCGTAGTTTAAGGTGTAGTGGAGATCAACTATAATGCATGCTTTCATGCATTTGTAGGTTCCTGGGACTGGTGTTTTGTGTTTTTTCCGGCAATTTCTTTCAGAATGCCTTTCAAACATACATTTGCGGCTTGATTTTGGGTCCGTGCTTTTGTCGCAACCCTTTCTTGTTCCAACACTCCCTTGAGACTGCTTTACAAATGAACGCTTTTGACACTGCCTTGGACTCCTAGAAACGGCAGCCCTTCTATACTGTGCTGTGACGATTGATGAGGACTGATTAAACACACCATTCTATTATAGTCTAATTCAGTTTCTAGGCTGTGGCCCGGCTATTTCTTGAATTTGTTGCCCCACCAAACGAAGTCCCAATTTTCAAGCGGCTGTAAGAAGCAGATCTCCAAATCTGCTTACTACAGCCAAGGTGTAGTGGAGATCAACTATAGTGCATGCTTTCAGGCATGTGTAGGTTACCTCGGGCTGTTTTTTTTGTGTTTTTTTCCGGCAATTTCTCTCGGAATGCCGTTTAAACATACATTTGGGGCTTGATTTTGGGCCCGTCCTTTTGTCACAACCCTTTCTCATTCCAAAACTCCCTTAAGACTGCTTTACAAACGAACGCTTTTGACACTGCCTTGGGCTCCTAGAAACGGCAGCCCTTCTATACTGTGCTGTGATTGATTGAGGCTGTTTAAACAAATTATTCTGGTATATTCTAGTCTGATTCAATTTCTGGGCTGTGGCCCGGCTATTTTGAGTTTGTTGCCCAAAGAAGTCTCAACTTTCAAGCAGCTGCAATAAGCAGATTTCCAAATCTGCTTATTACAGTTTGTGCAGCAGAGAACAATGCTTGCTTTCAGGCATTTGTAGGTTCCTCGGGCTGGTGTTTTGTGATTTTCTAGCAATTTCTCTCAGAATGCCTTTCAAAAATAAATGTGCGATTTGGGGCTTGATTTTGGGCCTGTGCTTTTGTCGCAGTCCTTTCTTATGGAGGGCTATTGATTTTAGGTTTCTTTTGAGCAGGTTCAGGTATTTTCTTTGGATTCTTGAATTTCTTCTGCTCCTGCTTCTCTGCTTTTCTACTTCTCTGCTTTTCTGCGTGTTTGCTCTTTTGTTCTCTGCTTGTATGCTTTTCCTGCTTTTCCGCTATTTTGTTTTTTTCCTGCTTTTCTGCTTCTCTGCTTTTCTTGCTTCTCTCTGTTCTGCTTCCCTGTTTTTTCCCTTTTTCTTCCTTCTAGCAGATCCTTATTTGAGCGTTTTTGAAGGTTTTGGGGGTGTGATAAGCAGATGAAAATCTGCTTATAACCTGTCCGCGACTATATATCCCAATCAGTACTTGATGGATTCATCCAATTTGAGCCCCCTAAAGATTGTAATTTGTTAGGAGGGGCAAACATCATAAACATCAGGAAGCCATTTTGCAACGCTCAGGTGTTTGCTACCATGGTGGCTCTCCTATTTCAAGTGGACGGCCTTGACTGGTCGAAACCATCAGACCACTTTGAATGCTTTGCTGGTGATATGGCGGTGACGCGAGCCGAATGGGCAGATATTAAGCCAATGTGGTTTTTGTGGTTTTTGGGGAATCAAATATATATGGAAAGGGCCCCAATGTTCCCCAAACAAACGAATGATATTTGGGATTCTATTCTAATTTAAGTAAATTTCGCTTGAATGATGGTTTCAAAATCAATGGGGGTTCCAAACCACCATTTTCTGTAAGTTTTTGGACCACCAAAAAAATGTACAAATTCGAAGGGGTCCAAAATAAACGGGTTGGAGATCCATTGATTTTGAAACCCCCATTCAAGCGAAATTTGTTTATTTTAGGGTGCTTGTCATATGGAAAAGGCCCCAATTGTCCCCAAACAAACAAATGATGTTTGGGATTCTGTTCGGACCATTTGGGAAATCATATGGGTATGCCTCAAAATGAGGTATCCTTCGATCCAAAAAGTACGTTGAATTTTAGGGTATTTTGCATATGGAAAAAAAAAACAGCAAAGCATCATCAAAGTTTGGGAAATCAGTGGGAAGAACATTATTGTTCCAGTTCATGTTGATTTCAAAATCAAATGATTATAAGCATTCATTTCCATCATATATACAAACCAAGCCCATTCCAGCCCACAAGGAGGGTCGAGATGCATATCCGTATGACATCAAGCTCGATCCAGCTCGAATGGATTTGGCCTCGACGGAAGGGTTTGCAAATGCTCTGTGGAGTGTGGCAAACCTAAAGCCAGGATCTGGCCACCTCACTGCACCGGTCTGTTCGACATTTGTGTTTATGTGGCTTAGCATGGAATCGTGTTTAGGTGACCCCTTCAACCCATCTCATCTTATTTGTTTTTATGTGGCTTAGCATGGAATCTTGTTTACGTGACCCCTCCAACCCATCTCACCTTATTTGTTTTGGAACCTTTCTCAATGAAACAAATCTTGATAAGGTAAATGCCAAAAACCCTTTGTGGCCCCTTTGAGGTCGAGAGGAACAACCCAGCGCAGCCGTACAAAGCCATTGGGACGAACTGACTACCCCTCAGTCAGGCTCGGCAATTTGTTATGTTGCCGAGCCTTAATCTTGGTGATTTTGGCTGCGTGCAAGGGGTGCATGTGGGTGTTAGAACAGCTTGCATCCAGCACCATGGAGTGGCACCCTTTGTTTCAAAAGATGCTGAAAATGATCGATGTCCGCAAGATGTTCATATCCATGTGTAACTACGGAGGCCCTACACGCAAGCCTACCATCTTATACACTGGCACCTGAATTGAAATTCTTGTGTATTTATTTTTTGTGGTCACCCCTGATCATCTTTAGCTCAAAAGAATATTTGGGTATAATTTGTGGCTCTTGTTCAATAATTCCTGAGCCCAGCAAGCCCATTGAGGACACAGCGAGATTGATTACATCCGAGAATACGAAGTGGAGCCCAGTTTGGAACCTCGAAGCATGGTGGTACGTTACCAAAATGCGAAAGGAGAGTGCCGAATCCATGGTGGATCAGATTTGAAGAGTTCACAATCATATCCGAGAAGGCTGGGAAGTTCATAACCATATATATAGTGACCGTGCATAGCTATATAGTACATAGTGACCATATGAGTATGTTTCGAACTTGGGAATTGGTATGTTCTGCAGAAAGATGTTTTTGAACACCCTAAAAACGTGACAATCCAAATTAAAAGCATTTCGACCCTTCAGATTTGGAGTGGCACTTGCTAAAGTCCGAACTCGATTTCACAAGTCTATCCGGCGCAGAGCTTTCAAGGCTTTGAGGGATGCCAGGAAGAATCGTCATGTGTCAAAGTACAACGCTTCCAGCCGTGTCAACAGGGCATGGATGGCTGGGGGCGATTTGCAACCCATTCTAGATTTCTTATCAAGTCGCCAGTGAAATTTCTGGTTTTCTAAAGTGGCTTGACCCACTCTGCATCTTGGGTTCCAGGTCCATCGGTATTTCCATCACATACTTCTTGGGGGTTGATCCATCCATCGTCTGAATCATAGTTATCACAATATCTATATATATTCTCGGGGGTCACCTATTGTTGATTTGGGTTCCATTCCATCGCATTTCCATCATATATTACTTCTTGGGGGCAACTATTGTTGATTTGGGTTCCATTCCATCGTATTTCCATCACATTACTTCTTGGGGTCACCTATTGTTGATTTGGGTTCCATTCCATCGCATTTCCATCATATATTACTTCTTGGGGGCAACTATTGTTGATTTGGGTTCCATTCCATCGTATTTCCATCACATTACTTCTTGGGGTCACCTATTGTTGATTTGGGTTCCATTCCATCGCATTTCCATCATATATTACTTCTTGGGGGCAACTATTGTTGATTTGGGTTACGGTTCCATTCCCGACGCATCATTTCCATCACATATTACAGCTTGGGCTCATTCTCTCAAGTATTGTCTATTTGGGCTATGGTTCCATTCCCACCTGCATTAAATTTCCATCACGCAATGTATCTTGAGGTCATTATTTCAATTTGTCGTTTCTTTGGGCTGTGGTTCCATTCCCATCATTCCCAATGACACATCTCAAATTATCTCAATCTTGGGCTGTGGTTCAAACTGGTAAATTTCCACTTGGGTTGGTTCACCAAAAAAGCCTCCCACAAGTCTCCAAAAAACAGTGTTTTTCATGCATTTTATGAAAGATTTTGGGCTTTTTTGAGGGACCAACCCAAGTGGAAAATTAGCAGTTCAAACAATAAATTGAGACAATGACCTCTAAGACAACTATTAGTTATAACAATGACCTCCCACACTCCGCCGGTGAGGAGATGCCTCGCCTTTGCTTCAAACGGCTGGACTCTTCTGCAGGCCTGCAGGAACGGGAGTTTGCCCACTATTTATTAGATAGGGTAGCCGTAATTGTCCAATAATTGGAATCATATATGGGATTCTTTAACTTTTTGGATGGGGCTGATCTAAAATGGGATTGGATGGCACCAGGTTTTCACAATTTGGATGGGATGCCACCATTTTCTTTTTTCCACCAATTTTCATCACAAAAATTCACAAAAATAATCAAAATCCAATCGTGCGCAAAATCGAGAGAATCGTGCGCATTGGAGAGAAATCGTGCGCATTGTAGGAAGGGTAAAAATCTGTCCAAAAAAAAACAGACTGCTGGCCGAAGATTTTCTTGGCTCACACACCGGGCAGGCTATACTTTGTCTAGGTTGCATGCCTGGGCAGCCTGAACCTGTGAGCACACCACCACGCGTGCGACACAGATCAAAGACCATGACTAGTGCTTCTGTTCGGCCACCAGCTTTGAGGAAGCCAAAGGACAGCCAGGACAAGGAGAAGGAGAGAGGTCGGGACAAGGAGAGACAGGACAAGGAGAAGGAGAGAGGTCAGGACAAGGAGAGAGAGGGCAAGGAAAAGGAGAGAGGTCGGGACAAGAAGAGACGTCAGGACAAGGAGAGAGGTCGGGAAAAGGAGAGGCATCAGGGCAAAGGACAGGACAAGAAGAAGAGGAAGGCACAGTCAGAAGACCCCAAAGGCGGCAAGGCAGTTGTTGAACTCATGGCTGATGCGAAGAAATCAAAGAAGGAGAAAGAGAAGAAAACGGCGAAGGGTGGGAAAGATGAGAGAGAGGCTGTGGAGACAAAGAAAGTTGAGGAGAAAAAGAAAGTTGAGGATTCAAAGAAAGCTGAGACAAAGACAGATGAGACAAATGTGGCAAAGGCAAAGAAGAAGAAGAAAAGCAGGGCGGAGAAGAAGTCCAGAAAGGAGAAGACGGATGGTAAGAAGAAGGAGGCAGGTAAGGAGAAGGAAACAGGTGAAGAACAGAAAGAAGGTGGAGACAAGAAAGACACAAAACGAAAGAAGTCACCAGAGCCAAAGGTTAAGTTCGTCCCTGCCCAAGCACCCAAAATTGAGCACATCTTTGAGACGCCTGAGCGCAAGAAGCAGCGAGAGACGTCACCTCACGCCAATGCATCAGCTTCAGGCAGCAGCAGCAGTCTGACCAGCAAGCAGAATGCAGAACAGAAGCTCCAGGAGCTCACAGCCCTTCTGAATTCTTCTGATGGTGAGTCTTCCTCCTGTCCAGCGACAGACATAGAGCAGCTTATGGAAGGAGAATCAGAAGCAGGAGAAACAACAGACAGCGAGGATTCATCAGACGAAGAAACCAAGGAGAAGGAAGAGACGAAGGATGAGAACAAGGAGGGCAAGGTGAAGGAGGATGAAGAGGTGGGCAACTCTTCATCTTCTGAGGAACAGGAGTCCAGCGAAGAAGAGGAGGAGAGTGATGATAAGTCTTCTGAGGAAGACTTGGAAGAGTCAAACCAGAAGGACGCTCCAGCAGCAGCAACGGGAGCAGCAGGAGCAACAGCACCAGACCCAGAGAGTCACGCACTTGTCCCAGTCACCAAGAAAACAGTTGAAACAGCTGTTGCACTCCGGAACTCCATGAGTGACAAGGCAGCATGGGACGCATTCAACAGAAACGCTCGCACCAAAATGCCACACTCCTTGGCTGATCACTATTCAGCCAACAAGACAGAGCTCTTCAACCTTTGGTTGGATTCTGGCCGAGACTGGAGCAAAGTTGAACTTTCAGCAGAAAGAATTCAACAACAAAGGTCAATTTCCAGCCGAGGCTACGAAGCCATCCAGGGAAAGGAACTCAGAAAGAGATACGCTGACGAGGCAAAGTACAAAGCAGTCATAGCATCACGCCGTCAGAGTGGGATGTTTTACCAGGACGACGACTTCCCAGATGACGAAGAGGACACATATTTCTCTCAACCCATGGAATCGATCGGTTAGTTTTGAGAGAAGACCTTTCATTTTACTATAGTTTCATAATCAAAGCATCCTATCGTGTAGACATCCATGCATGATCTTTCACACTATTTGAAGGTCCCAACATGTCCCAGAAGACGACCTTTCATGTTACTACAAAAACAGGTTCAGAATGAAAGCATCCTATCGTGTACACATCCATGCATGATCTTCCACACTATGTGAAGGTCCCAACATACCCCACACTTGACCAACAGCAAGCCATGTCAGGAGTGTTGGTACTTCGTCAAGCAGGCCCAAAAGATCACTCGAGAAGATGAGACTGGGGATACCCTGAGGATGAAAGCCCGAGCTGATGTTGATCCCACACTGCGTGCTGCCCTCCTGGATTCCGACACTGGCCTGATGAGGGCTGGCGCTTTGCCGAAAGTTTCAACAGCAAATGCTGCTGGAGCCAAGGCAGTCCTGGAAGGCATTGAGAAGGCCAGCCCATGTCTAGTTCACATGTTTCCCATTGAAAACCGTCCATCGAATGAATCTATTTTTTCCCATGCATCTTACAAAGTTGTGGAAATCTGAATTTGTGAATCTTGGTTCACATGTTTCCTCTTGAAAATCGTCCGTGGAATGAATCTAGATTTCTTCCCATGCATCTCACAAAGTTGTGGAAATCTGAACTGGTGAATCTTGGTTCACATGTTTGATTTTTCCCATGCATCTCACAAAGTTGTGGAAATCTGAATTGGCGAATCTTGGTTCACATGTTTTCCCTTGAAAACCGTCCATGGAATGAACCAACCCTTTTTTATGCAGTGATGCCCAAAAAATGGTGTGTCTCAATGTACATCGAGTAGGCAAATAGATCTATGGTCTATTTGTTAAATGTAAAAAAATACAGAAAGAAATATGTGTCAAATAGGTCTATCTACTTTTATATATATATATATATTTATATACAGCATCTACATGGTCTAGTTACAAACACCTGTAGATAAATACAAAGAAATAGATGTCTCCACCTTTCACCGCTTGCCAGGTGGTGGCAGCCCCAAAGAAAAAGGCAAAGCCTGGTAAGGAAGAGGAAGGTTCTGAACCAGCAGAGCCGGAGACATGGGCCAAAAAGGCTTCTTCATGCCTTCCCCTGATTTTGAAGGACGCCTCTGACGCCCGAACTGCGTCCATCAAGCTGGGTGGCATGGAGTATGCCAGCGAACTTGCAACTCAGCTTCTTGAGCATGCAACAAAGATGGAAGCCTTTTGGACCAAACTCAACACCGCACTGGCCGCTGGCCGCAGCGACAGAAAGTTGAAAGAGTTGCTTGAAGAACTTGAGGGCTTGAATGCATTTGGCATCAAAGCCCAGGCAGGGGCGGGCATCTACCTATAGCAGATTAATAGGGAGCTCACTTTACATAGCGAAACGTCCAAGAGTAGAAAATACCAAGTAGAAAATACCAAGTAAGAAATACACACTGGAGTTTACCCCCCAGCACTCTGCCGGAGGCTGCTGCAGATGCTTTTTTGAAGCCAAAGAAAGCCAAGGCGAAGGGCAAGTCAAAGAAGAAGAAAGATTCCAAGTGAGTCAGCTCACTCTATGAGAGTGAGGGGGGTTTCTCCACTGCAAGTGTACCACTTGCAACTTTTGGGTGGCAGGATTGCCGTACCATTGTTCGATGTGCTGTCCCATATTGCAGAGACTTTTCTGCCGGGGTCAGACTGATTTGAAAACCGGGAACCGTCAGAGCTTGCCAAAAAAAACATTGCAGCCTCCAGGATGTTTTCCATTTTACCCTTGAACAAACATTACAGCCTCCAGGATGTTTTCAATTTTACCCTTGAACAAACATTACAGCCTCCAGGATGTTTTGGATTTTACCCTTGAACATCGAAGAACAATGCAACTCTTTGAGTGTGATATACCATTGGTTCAAACCAATTATGAGGAACCATTTCGTGGGAATCCCATCCCTCGCCACACAGCGCTGCAGGCTCTGTGTCCTCCAATGGCTTGGCATCAAGGCGCCTCATTGGGTCATCACTGGGTGCCATCCATTGGTTGAAAGTGCATGTTGAACATCGGATTACCTCTCATTGGTCACGTGATTTGGTTTCCGAACACCCAGCAGGAAACGGCAGAAGATTGAAACCCTACCGGAGTCCAAAACTGTGACCACGTTTGCTTCAATGATTGGTCGTGGTCGTTGCAGCATTGATGCAGCTGCTGAACTGGCCAGGGATATAGTTTCTATCTTGTTTCAGCAAATTTCTTCTATTTCACATATACCCAAAGTAAATGGAAGATGGTGATAGTTAAATGTTCTTGTATTTCACATATTCCCAAAGTAAATGAAAGATAGTGACAATTAAATGTTTCCATTGGTTTAAGTTACCCATTCAGCAGCCTGTCCGTCCATACCATCAAGGTACATGACCATGACGTAGCACCACATCCAGCCATCAAGTCCTTTGCCAGTCTTGGCAACGAGGGGCAAAGCCGTTCAAATCAAGAGCGGGATTTGCACCGGTGGATGAAAAACCGTTGCGCCGTTGGGGCTTTTCACTGCAGGGTTATACAATTTCACTGGATCTTCAGGTGACTGTTGAAAAAATGGGATCCGTGTATCAGTTCCTCCTTTTCAAAAAGGGATAAAATATCCTCAATTTTCAGAAAGGGATAAGCATGTCAGTGCCTCAACTGTCAAAATGGGATAAACATATGAGTTCCTGAACTTTCAAGACATATCGTTTCCTCAACTTTCGAAATTGGATAAACATATAGTTTCCTCACAAAATTGGGTAAAGATGATAGATATGATAAGATATGACTTCTTCAACTTTCAAATGATAAGACTATAGCATGTCCTCCATGTTCGAAATGGGATAAACATTTCAGTTCCTCATTGGGATAAACATATTGAGTTCCTCAATTTCCACATGGGATATACCAAACATCATTCCTCCATGCCCTCAGGTGGATGGCAAACGCAAAGCGCCTCGTTCTGTTCCCGTGAAGGTGCTATTGCCCCACGAGGTGATGCACGCCTTGGCGCACTCCAGTGAATTTGCTTTCAATACTTTGATTCTGGGGAACACAGATTCTGAGACCAGATCTGCTTTTTGGGAACATGTCTCAAAACAGAAACCCTGGTCAAATCAACCCTGCATACATGCGGCACATGCTAGCTGCACATTGGACAAACTGGTTGGTTGCAGCATACACGGCGATGGAACTCAAATGTACCGTGAAGATGAATTCTTTTGCTGGTCGTGGTCCAGTATTTTTGCTTCCATGAGTGGAATTTGCAAAGACGTGTTGCTGATAAAATACCCTATCGCTGTCATCCCCGAGAGGCAAATGAGGAGCCAGGAGGATTCCTGGTTGATGTTGAATAAGCATTTGTTGTTTCCCCATGCAGTATTGACACCATGCATTACCCAAAAGATCTGTTTTGTTTCACTGGTAACAAGTCTGCATACACATATAGTTTCACATATAGATGCATATAGTTTCCCATATAGATGGGTAGATAGATATATTCAAATGTGTATATATATATATGTATTTACATATTTATTATATATATACATATATATTATATTGTATATATTTTAGATATATATATATACGTATGTATTTGTTTATATACATAGTAAATACAACAAAAGCAAGTTCCCATTTGTGACATCAGGTTCGGGATGCTGCCCATGCGAAGATTGCTGAGCTTGTCACATGGTCTCTTCGGATAGCTTCCAACGGGGTCGGGCCTGACGTGGGGTTCAGAGGGGAAGCCTTCAAGGAGGGCACCCAACGCTGGAATCTCCGAGGGAAAGAATTATCAAAGGGATTCAAGAACCTTCCATTGAATTCCAGAAATTTTTCTGTAGCTCCCTTAAAAGTATTTTGGGGTTGGACCTATTTACTAAAATCGAGTGATGTTTTGTTCGTCTCTATTCAACTCCCCAGGTTATGCTTCTTCTGTTTCAAGGCGGATCTAAAGGCCCGCAAACAGATGCATGTCTTCGAGCGGTACTACCAATGCAACCTGCTCCTAAGCTGTCATATGTTTTCATGTTGTTTGATCAAGGTGAAAACCAACCTTGGGTCTTTGACAACCTTTGCTACTCAAGGTTCTGTGATCGCTGCATGGCCCTTCAAGGACCCAATTGCCCCGAACATATGGATTACAGGAACATTGGTCCAAGTGCGGCTTGGCCCCTCACGGAAATTGATGACGCATTCTATCGGACATTGGATGCCCATTCATTGTCACCATGGTTGCAAATGGACGGGTTCAATTTGGGTTGTATAGCCTATGACTGGATGCATAACGTTTTCCTCGGAACTGCAAGAGACCTAGTCGCCAGTGGTACCTTGCCTCAGCAAAAGAAAGACTTCTGTTTAAACCAGTTAATACCCCACATGTGGAGCTGTTGTCTTTGAGGTTCGATGTGAAAAAATGCAAACCAATTTTTGTCAAGTGATCCCAATCCCAAACCGAGGCATCTTTGTTTTAATTTCCAGCGGGAGATTTGGGCCACCAACGGACGATATGGATGAGATCTTATGCCGAGTTCAGAGAAGCATGCACAGAACTTGTGCAGCAAATGGGAAACTAGCACTGTTGACACGCTCTCCTATTTGATTTGTTTATGTTTATGTAGATATTTTTTGATTGTTTTCAAACATTGTTGATGGTAAGATTCACCACGCCCCCTTCCTGAAGACCAGCCTCTACAGATTCTGCTATCCAAGCCAAGGATGAGATTGCCTTCCAAGCCCCACCTGACCGTTGCAAATCTTCGTGCTGACGAAGGGTACGCTGAGATGGGAACCCGGTTCAAGGCTAGCCACATTAGGTTGTTGGTGAGGTGGCTGGCACGTGAGACCCAGATCTTCGCAGATGCCAACCAAAATGTCCCTTAGCCCAACCAAAAAACTGAGCATGTGAGTATCATTGTTGTCAACTTTAAGTGACGAACCCCACAAGTCACAAGTTACCGCTTCATGTTTCAACAACTGTATAGACCATGCTTCGAGTTAATCAGGTATCCAACTATCGTTTTCCAAACGTATATCCAAATTTAGATGTTCCTGCTTTAAGATGGGCCCTCACATTTTTGTGTTGCTTAGGACTGCGTGGTGAACGTGTTGGCTGCATGTGCCTACAATCTGCAACGGGCTTGCGAACTCGTTGAACACGGGTCACCCCTTCTTTTTTCTGAGGAGGATTCAGTTGAAGCGAGTTCATGCATTCGTGCACACCTCAAAGCCTTTTGGTGGTTGGCATACTACTTCTTTCAGCGAAGGGAACTTCTTTTCAAATTGCGATGCAAATCGCATTACCTTTTTCACACAGCTGATGACATAGAAAGGTACAGGATCAATCCTGCTGTGATGCACTGCTTTGGGGAGGAGTCTTTCCTAGGAAAAGTCAAATCCATTTTGGTGTCTTGCCACGGTGCAACCTGTACGCATAGTTTCTTCATGAGATACTTGCTAGCGGTATCTGTCAGCTTAAAAGAGTTGAAAGAGAAAGAGAACCAATTTGAGTAGGGGAAAAAACTTGAAGCCGTTGATAGAACAAACAAAAGGTGTTACACCATTAAAAGCTACAAATTTGGTGGTGCCTTCGATGGCTCATTTTGGTTCCATATCTCCACTTGGACCATTGAGTTGCGAGGGTCAGCAACCAAAAACAGTGTTCGGAGCCGGGCCTTCTGGTGAGAAGTTGCCATTGCATGGCGCATGGGATACAGCAGGTGCTTACCCAAAATTATTTGAACAATGCTTGGATACCCTGTGGGACTTTTTTCACTGATCCACCAATTTGGGACCCCTTGTTTTGTTTTTTGTTTTGGGGTGGCAGAGCTATAAACGGGAAAGATGTGTCTTGATCAATTTTCGCTCATGGTCTCATGTTATAGTGTTGGGACATCACCCTCATGTGGAAGCAATTCCTGAAGAATATTTTTTGGGTGCCATCACCTTTCTAAACCAGATCGAGCGTGGGCAGCGTGTCGCATCACCACCATGGAAAATCCACGGGCAAAAAAACATCAAGGTTTAGAAATATATACATAGATAAATTGTATATACATGTGCAAATGATATATAACTATAAATGTAATTAATATATGTGTATATATATGATATGTAAATATTAGAATATGATATATCTATATATAATATATATATATATTTAAATATTTATATATTTAAACATATATATATATGTGCATACTTATATCTATCGATTTTTATCTTCAAACATATCTACCCTATAGTACCCGGACAAGGTGGAGCGGAAGTTGCCTTAGGGTTGAACTATTAGACCTTTCTCATCTATAGAGCTTGCATGCGCCGTGCGCCGCCGAGGCCCGTTCGGAACATATGGTCTTGTGCAGGAGCTGTGCTTCCAAACCCAGCGTCAAAACAGGATCGAGGTTTAAACCCTCACGCTCTCTTGGCCAATGCCTGCATGGTGCGTTCTCACACACATGTGCCTGGCCATTGCCCTGCATTCTGTGTGAAACAATTTGGTTACCATGTTTTTTCAGTATGCTTTTACCCTCCCTCCATGCCCATGGTTGTTAGCTGCATATTTTGTTAGCTGCATCGGGTTGTCACTCAATGTTGGTTTTCCTTTGTTACTGCTTAAGGCTCCTATGTTTCTACAAGTTGTTCCTACATGTTGCAGCTGCGCAAACTTGATTGCTGTTCTTCTTCAAAAAAATTTTTCATTTCATGTTTTACTTTTACTTTTTCCATGCGTATCCAAAAATTGAACCCTATAAACTATCTTATTGCTGTTACAAACCGTAAACCCTACTTTGTCATTACAAACCCTAAGCCCTACTTTGTCATTACAAACCCTGAGCCCTACATTGTCGTTACAAACCCTAAACCCTACGTTGTCGTTACAAACCCTAAACCTTACGTTGTCGTTACAAACCCTAAACTCTGTCGTCACAAACCCTAAACGTTGTCGTCACAAACCCTAAACCCTACGTTGTCGTTACAAACCCTAAACCCTACGTTGTCGTTACAAACCCTAAACCCTACGTTGTCGTTACAAACCCTAAACGTTGTCGTCACAAACCCTAAACCCTACGTTGTCGTCACAAACCCTAAACCCTACTTTGTCGTCACAAACCCTAACGTATTTTTCTTTCATCTTTTTCCGGCAACAAAATCTTTATAACACGTTATACTAATAACGCTACAAAACTTTACACCTCGAAAACAAACCTCTTTTTTTTGCAAAACTTTGTCGTCACAAACCCTAAACTCTGTCGTTACAAACCCTAAACGTTGTCGTCACAAACCCTAAACCCTACGTTGTCGTTACAAACCCTAAACCCTACGTTGTCGTTACAAACCCTAAACCCTACGTTGTCGTTACAAACCCTAAACCCTACGCTGTCGTCACAAACCCTAAACGTTGTCGTCACAAACCCTAAACCCTACGTTGTCGTCACAAACCCTAAACGTTGTCGTCACAAATCCTAAACCCTACGTTGTCGTCACAAACCCTAAACCCTACTTTGTCGCACAAATCCTAACGTATTTTTCTTTCATCTTTTTCCGGCAACAAAATCTTTATAACGCGTTATACTAATAACGCTACAAAACTTTACACCTCGAAAACAAACCTCTTTTTTTTGCGAAACTTTGTCGTCACAAACCCTAAACGTTGTCGTCACAAACCCTAAACCCTACGTTGTCGTCACAAACCCTAAACGTTGTCGTTACAAACCCTAAACCCTACGTTGTCGTTACAAACCCTAAACCCTACGTTGTCGTTACAAACCCTAAACCCTACGTTGTCGTGACAAACCCTAAACGTTGTCGTCACAAACCCTAAACCCTACATTGTCGTCACAAACCCTAAACCCTACTTTGTCGTCACAAACCATCACAAACCCTAACCTATTTTTTCTCTATAAAATCCGAAAAAAATTTGAGACCAGAAATATTTTGATTCTTGAAACTTTATCCTTACAGAACCTTATATAAAAGTTAAAAATCAAAATCAAAAATCTCATTTTCAGTACTTTTGTAACATATCTCATCCGCAGCAAACGACAGCGTTGAGACATACGACATCGTTCAATGGTGGAACATGTCGTTTCTAGACACACTTGTCCTTTCAAGATGGTTGGAGCCTCTAGGTGGAAGGCTATGTCGACGGCCCAGGGATCTCGAACGGTAGTCTGCCGGCGCGTCTCGTATTCAGGGACTGGCACAATCACCTCGGCCTCTTCCCACAGGCGTGGCATGTGCTTTCCAGAAAGCGGCCCCGCACCCGGGTCGTGCTGTCGGTACCGCGAGAGTCGCAAGCACAAGGCATTGTGCCGCGTCGTGGGAGATATGGGTTCTCCGAGTTCGACCCGTGCTCCGAAGAGAAAACGGCCAATCCGTCGCCGGACCTCCACTGTTCCAGGCAAGGTCATTTGCGTGTGCCGGATGTCACGCAGCAGCTGGGCTTCGGGCGGGGGTGAGGCCTTCGGCAAACCATAGCTTGCGGGCATCGTAGTTGATTGGCTTCAGCATCTTGCCGGATGTCAAATACTTGCCTTTTTGCAATTTTTGATACAAGGCTTTGGCCGCCTCAACCCATTCATGCGCCGGTGTCGCTTGGAGGACATCTGTCTTGGGTTTCCAAGCGCGGTACAGCGGCATTTGGCAAACCGAATGCCATTTGAACGTCAACCGACGTAGGCCTGAAATTAAATCCCAAGAGTTTCGCAGCGAAGACTCGACGCGCCAGGCTAAGGAGCGCAGGTGTGGGACTGGCCCTAGCACCGCTGCGTCGGCCTTGCGTCGCGGACGATCCTTATTTGGAAAGTCCAGCCCGCCGACGGGGGATGGCACGCTGAAGGGGAAGGCCCAGGCAAGGTACTCGGTCTGCCACTGGTCCCAAAACTCTGTGCCCGTCTGGATGGTGACCTTGGGCGTGACCTGAGCAAGGCGCGTCACTTCTTGGGTCGTCGTGTCACCTGCCTGGCTGCTGGTATAATCCGGGCTGAGAACTTGAGGTCGGCTGCTGCCCAAGAAGGCTTCCCCGCCAAACTGTGGAAGGTTTGCGGGTTCTGGGGTTGCATTCTTTGTCTGCGCTGGAGTGGGTGCTGCACCCGCTAGGTCGGCTTGCTCTTTGACGGTGACTGGACAAATTTCTTCTGTGCCATACTCCCGCTGCACTTTGGATCGGAACAGCTGCTTTAGTTCGGCTGGCGTGCCGTCATAGGCTGCGAACATGGGATGGTGTATATCCACTAAGTGATCTAAGGGGGCAACAACCACATGAGGCCTAAGGTGGGCGCCGGCTACCCACTCCACGAGCTCAGCATACCGCATGCCCTTCACCGTCACTTTCACCATTGCGCGCAAGGCAGGCAGCGCATGCGGCAAGGTTGCAATGCGATCGTGGGGTGTCATCTGTGCGAAGTGGCCGTAGATCTCTTCCCACGGCAAGCTCACGGCACTGATGTTGCCGCGGATGGCCAGGCGGTGCTCGGCTCGATGCACCGGCTCCTCTAAGACGTACCCGCGGTCTGCTTCAAGGTAAAAGCTCACCATGGAAGTCCATAGTGGCGAAGCAGCCGCTGTCTCTATCCATCGCACCCGATGCTGGTAGAGGAGCTCGGCCGGATACCCATAGAAGTTGTCGTTGCTGAGGGCCGAAGGAATGCCACTAAATGCGCCTTGCCGTATTCGGCTCCAACAAGGTCGGCACAGTGGCAGCTCGCACTGGGGGCAGAGCTGCATGCCAGCGGCAGGGCAGGCGCTGCACCGGAGATCTTCCGGGCAGCACAGGATGGACTGCCCTTGGAACAATGTTAGTGGCAGGGTTCGCTGCCATTCGGCTCCGTGGAGTTGCCTTTGGACGGCTGCATGGGAGCCATAGGAAGTGCGATATTGCATCAAATCCCAATTCTGTTGGAAGCTATCGGGTGTCAAGGTTTCGAAGATCTGTTCCACGCTCAAGTACCCAATCTCGCTGCGCGGTCCGCTGGGCAGGACGGCGGCACAGCAAGCACAGATGAGGGCAACGGCTTGCTCTTCTTGTCTTTCATCATGCAAGCGTCGCAAAGTGCGACGATCTACACTCCATCCAACGGCCGGGACCGATTGCTCTTCCACACATTTCAAGGCTGCGATGTAAGAACTCACAAGATCTCCGGGGCAATGCTGAAAGGCGAGTGCATGCTGGCTGTGCAAGTGTGCCCACAGACAGGCAGCGGTGTTGTTGCAGCAGGCTCCGCTGCTGCAGTGCCAAGTGACCCCCTGCACAATCCATCGATCTTTCAAGAGCAATGCGTCCACGCACGGCTGTGCGTCGCTGCACCACGTGCAACCTTCAAAGGCACAGTGGCAGGCTGGATACGCGACGCCGGACATGCTGTCGGCTAACTCTTCCGGAACGATGGTGGCAGCAACGGTTTGGTACGAAACTGTCGGCTGATGGTCTGAATTTGTTCCAAGTGTTGGTCTTCCAGCGTGCACCATGCACGCTCTGGTTCCAGCGCAAAGCTGGGTGCGGCACTAGAGCC